TCTTCCTTCCTTGACATGTGCTGCGGAGATCAAGACATTAGAGCAAGGAATCATTTGTCTTCATGAAACTTTAACTTCGATTGTTGATTTGGCGATCCTTGAGGTGTATGACTATTCTCCCATATTGCCTGATGATTTTATTGGAGAGGGAACAACAATAATAGCAATAATTCCGTCGATGTCAAATATTATTAAGAGTAATGATTTTGCAGTATCAATAATTCGGTATCAGTAATAAATGTGAAAAGTATTATTTTAGTGAGAATAGAAGCCATAATGATTTTGCAGCATAGTGAGCGAGGCGATTACATTCAAAACTTTCATATCCAGTTTTATTTTAATGTTGTTGGAATGTGACGTGGTTATGAGCAGTCACTAGTGCACAACAAATATTATTTACTTACTCTCACCACCGAAAATGCCGTCAGCAACACAGTGGTGACGGGTTCATTGACCTTACATATTGATCTTACCTCAAGTCCAAGTCTACACTCAAGAGAAATGTAAATTTGTAGCATAATGAAGTCAATCTATTGTTGTATAAGAAAAAGTGATCCTATTATGTTGAGGTAGTCAGATTGTTTAGAGTAAATTAAACAATAATTCTTAGATATTGAGTGCACCGAGGTGCCACCTTCTAATCAAATAATACCACTAGTTTTATTTACATATGAAACGATGGTATTAACAAACAATCCAGCGAAATATCACTGATGATTAGAGCTCAGTGATAAGCATAAATAGAATGACTGCTGAGCTGCATATTGAAATTTCGTTTCGTTTGTAGTTTGTTTGCAGTTTGCAGAGAACACTTACATACATGACAGCCGATGGTATCATATCTTATCAGATCACTTATCATTGATTTACATATGTCCAGGGCAAATGAAATAAGACTATGAAAATAAGGAAAACAACACCAAAACCACTGGTAATGATTTGCAACGCATCATTTGCAAAACTATCAGATAATCATTGACATGTTTACCACCTTATATGGCAGCGAATCCCACGTTCAGGTGCCCAGATTTCCGAATAGTATATATGTTGCTGAGAGATTTTGATTAGTTCAAGAGGTGAAACTGAATTTCTATAGATATTTCAAACTACTAGAACCATTCTATAATACCGCAAAGCTCTGCACATTTGACCTCTACGGTGTGATCAATAATACAGTTCTACAGGAATACCACGAGTACTATTTTCAAGTCACCTGTATCTTCATCTTTCCAAAGAAACACGATTGTTTCTAGTTAATATCAGATTCAAGGAAATCTCAGCTTCCAGAAAAGTATATATGTTACAGAGCGATTCTGCATACTTCCCCTATATAGAGCTCAATTAAGCCGGGTATGTTATGCAGCTGAGCCATTTCACTACTATGAAGCTATCATAAGACTTCCTCAATCAAGTCGTTATAAGAGTTTGAATTTTACTTGCGGCATGAAATAAGCACGAGATAGGAGCTGAAACCAATGTGATTTGGGGCAATTATTAAGAAAGAAGATATTAGCTATCAGAATATGGTAAGAGTAGGTAAAAGTTGATTTTTCTAAAAGTTATTAACATAATTTTGCCATTGTTACACTTTCACGTTCAGTTTTTCGCAATTCTTAGGCCGCTATCAAGGTCACCAACGCGTTCATAGCTCAATTCTTAGATGAGAGTCATTCTGAACGATTGTTTCTTCCATGTATGTAATGTCCTTCATTGTAAGTTTTATTAATTCAGGTATATTACTTTTTTTCTTTTACCATTCATTTTATTCAATCAATTCGCTGAATTATTGAACATTATTCACCATGTGATCTGTTGAATAGATACTTCGCTATTCAATTCATAGAACAGTAAGACAAATACAAGTGTATTTACTTATAGAACATTTTTTAAATATTGCAAATGAATTCGATTTCCATTTAACAACGAATCAAACACTTATATCATTTAACAGACATATCGCATCAGAAAGTCATTTATCTCCATTAAATTAAGCAGTTGAAAGCAACCACAGTAATGCGAAACAGAACTACTGCAATAAAATTATCCTACAACTTCGATAAAGAATGAAACTGCTTGATAATATTCGCTGGACGGTTAAACAATCAACTTCAACTGAGGTAAATTATTTCGATGAACAATAAATATAAATCAAAATTGCTGGTAACTAAAAATCAAGATCCAATTGCTCGTTCTTGTCAACCGGTGTGAATGTTTCTTTAGCTCGTCTGAACGCCTCCAGTTCAACCGGGTAAATCGCAGAGCCTTTTGACATCATCTGAAAACGAACACCGTGAAAGCGAGAATGGAAATCGTGAGACACAACTGCAAATTGAGTAAAAATCGGAATTATTTTAACTGCATGATAAAGACCTTACAATAAATTCGGATGTACGATTGAACACCATAACTGATATCAATACGAGTAGAGATAGGACAAGTATCAAAGTCAATCACTCCGCTCATAAATTCAGTTTCGATTCATAAGCAAAACTTCTCAGATGAAACTGATGAAAGCTGACTGAAAACTACAATTTTCATATGAAAAACTCACTCGGAAAAGACGCCATCTACTAGGCCATTCACGCCTCATACTGCACTGTCTTCGGGTTGCCTTTACGTCGCGTAACAGCGCCGATACAGCCTGCAAAAATATCAGTGAACTACCCGGACGTCTTCTGAATACATGATCCAGGATGATCGTAAGACGGTAATATTAGGAAAGAATCCTTACAGGAATTAAACACAACCATCAAACTACTCGAAAGTACTCAAAGTATTTGAAAAATCGCACTAAAAGTTTATGTCAACACATCGCATTAAGTCGTACCTTCACGGAGATTTTGCAGAGTGTTAGCACGTGTTTAGCGAAGTGTTCAAATAAATCGAAATAAAGTTAGAACAGAGAATGAAATCATGAAATGATAATTTTGCAAACTCAACAATTTCACTATAGCAGCGGCAAGAAATGATTGTTACTGGTACTGTTTTGAGTCAAACACATTGCATGATCGGTAATCGTACTTGTATCTCAGGGACAATACCTGATAGTACTTTTGATCCTCTTCGCTCCATTGCTCGAAACCTTCAGGAAGTTGTTCACGTTTCTTCTTGCGACGACCCTTGCGACCCAGAGGTGTGCTGTTAGCCTGGGAATCTTTTGGCTTATTGAATGAAGACATAACAATAGATAAAAATAAACAAGAACAGCCAAACTTCATCAGAAATCCTGAAGCAAGACCTCATTTCGGTTCAACATGATCAGCCCCAATTTTGATTGGTATCACTGAGGAGGAAATTACTTTGCAGCATAAAACCAATGCTTCCAGAGCCATAAAAGTTATCAACTTTCTGAGCATCATTAGCTCGTCCGGGCCTAACATGGTTTTCATTCGTTTTAACAGGGTTTTCATTCTTTTTGTTGCTGTTGTAATCACTCTCATGACTGTTATCACCAAAATTGTTCTCTTCTGCTAATTTCTCATTCATTTCACTCAACAATCAAAGTCAAATTCTCATTCTATCAAATATACTCTGTAATTGATCATTTGACTCTCGAACATTGTTGTGCAGTAATATTCGATTGTTGTATTGTTGACTTCGACTGTCAACACTCGTCAACGTATCCAGTAAACAGTGTATGCCACAGAATGAGAAAATGATTCGAGCTGTGAAATGAAACGAGACGAAGTGAATGATAAAAAGTCATGAAGAGAACGGTATTCGCATGTGATAGCTATGAGAGTGAATACAACACGTCTGAAAAGAATGAGAATCCATGTGAATCAGTATGAAACAAGCGTTCATCTGAATGAGAGTTCATCTGAATTAGTTTG